AACAGTCTATCCATAGATAAAAGACATAGCCTATCAAAGAAGGAAAGCGAGATTATATTACCATAGAAACACGTTTTGATTTATAGGACTTCCAAAGAAAAAAATCCAACTATATTTACCTGATTTCTTTAATTTTCTCTAAAACGGAATCTACACTATAGAACTAATTCTTTAGAACAAGCAAAATTTTTATGAAGAATGCATTTCTCTCAAAATCTCAATAATAAAAAAGTTTTTTCTCTGGTGAAGACAACTCAGGGACACGTTGTAGTATTTTTTTGATATTATATATTATTGCTTTGTAGAATTTGTGAAATGACTTAAGAAAATTTCACCTGATTCTCTCAGGTGTCAATATTTTTAAAGTAATAAATGGCTAAACAATCGGTTTATTGGCCGAATCATGAAGAATTTATTTGAAGAAACTGTTTATATTGTAATTTTACGAGTTGTTAATGTTCAGCCATCTTATATTCACCAAATTTTAAAAAATGAAAATTTGTATCATATCCTTGTAAGTTATGTAATATTGTTTTATTATTTATTAACACGTTAAAGTACAACGCAAAAGCAAAATCGTCGAGCCAAACTAAACTAATGCGAAGATAACGAAATACGATACACTACACCATAGGATGAATGTACGTCATACCGAGCAACGCACTCCACGAGAATAAATAAATCCACCCGTCCCGATACGAATTATAGCATTAATGCTGACAAACGACGTGACATCGGCATATAGAACAATCTGCCTAATAGAGACGTCAATATTGATAGTAGCGACAGAGAGAGATTGACTCTGCGAAACCCTTACTTTCGTCGCCCGTATCATTTCGTGATGGAACATAGCAATTTTACTATGGATAGTGGAAAATTGATCGCGATGAAATTTTATACAACCAAAATGACTTTCTATAATCAAGTTCCTTACTTAAATTTTATAACAATGTCACCAAAAGAAAGATTCGTTCATATAATTAAAACATATAGAGTTAGTCAATAAAAGTTTGGTTTGGTTAAAAAAGCTAGCACGCATCAACTAAACGAATTTCCGATAAAAAAAAGGCTTCATGTTGGTAATTATGGCGAACGTTGTGGCTTGTCATGAGATATTTTTTTGGAAATCTGGTATTTGTATTTTTCGATTTTATTATTTTTTCTAATGACCTTTGTCGGTTCCAATTTTATTCCGAGTTTTATTTGACAAATTTGAAATTGAATCTGCCTTTTGTTTAGTTAAAACTACGATTTTCATTGCAATAAAATGCCAAAATGCCACTCAATATTCGGAATCAGGAACTTCTCTAGTTTTTATTCTTAAATAAATATGTAATGTAATGGTAATGAGCGACCCTTGTTCCATTTGAAAAAATTGAGATATGATTAAAAATACCACTTGGGCAACTTTTAATCGGCAAAACCAAGACACGAAAATCATTAAACTATCAAATCTATTTTTATTAGAATTTAAATTATTATTTTATTATTTGTATTTATTTAAATCAAAGCTCCTTGATTAAAAATTACTTACTTACTTACTGCCATTACTTGCTGACGAGTATTTGACACGCATCAGTTGGTTACTCAATGCGTTTCCTTTTATGGGCTTTTCTATGACCGAAAAGCCCGATACGTGATGTTATCTCTCTTCCGCACTCCGGACATTCAAAAATCTCATTACTTTGTTGCCTCTTTACTTTTTGGTTGCCGTTGTTAACTGAGTTTTTTCTATTTTGCGCTGCTTCCTCCCACTGATTCTACCTGTTTATCCCCTAAGTTTTCATGGAAAATATCCTTGTATCTTTTGAGTTGTCCACCCGGTTTCCTTTTACTCTCTACAAGCTCACCGTAAAGAAGAGATTTCGGTAGGCGGTTTTCTTGCATCTTGCATACGTGGCCAGCCCATCTTAAACGGGATTTAGTAATCATGACTTCAGCGCTTTAGCAACTAGCTTTTTCGGGGATTAAAAATTAGTGTTTTTAACATGGCTATGGCACTCTAGAGCAAACTTTAACGATTTTTTAAGCAAGAATGTCAAAAGTTGACCTATGATATATCATTTTATCCAGAATGTCATTTTCTATAAAATAAATTTAAAAAATACCGAGGGTGTCATTTAAAAATCAAAAGTTCCAGTCATTTCCGGTGAAGAGGAAGTAACCGAAAACAATTGAATGCGTCGATCAATCCTGATTTTTGTAATATATTAACGTACCAAATCCCGTTTATTGATCTATAATAATAATAGCTCCCGTATATAGCGTTTAACGCCTTGGGAGTAGCAAGGTACAACTTGCTATACTAGAGCCGTTCGGTATACACGAAAGGTAATGTGGCTAGCACTACGCTTCAACCGCTATTGATCTAAAAAATAAAAAAAAATATATGGGTGAGCCTCTTTTAAGAAACACCCAGTATATATTGTAAAAAATTTAAGTGAAAAATCGGTGAGATGAAAGTACGACATTTGACATAAGTCAAAGTAAGAAAACTATTGACATTTGACATAAGTCAAAGTAAGAAAAGTAGATGTTTCTTATAATTAATACACTGAAACGCTGATTGTTAAACTGAACTTATTCATACTTTACTTAGTCCTTTTCTTAAAGGTGTTTTCCTCCTGTATCGCTTGTCCTGTCAAAGCTTTTTGTGTACAACTAACTATCGGTAAACTCAAGATAAATGTACAAAAGAAAGTTTCCAAGTAAGCTTGCTTGAAACGTCTCTAAGTTTGCCAGACCACAAATCACAAATTAGTACAGAACTAGACCAAATAACTGGAGAACCCGAAACTTCTGTATATAATACAGTTGAGGATGTCACCGCTGTAAATTAAGTTAGATTGTTTAAACTTGCAAAAGTTGGGCGACTGAATTATGCGGAAATGAAGTTAAGGATCGTGAAAAATAATTTCCTACTCATTTTCTTAATAAAGTTTTAATTATCTAGTTTCTACGAAGGGGTAAAGTTGTTTCAAGAGTTTAAATTTTGTTTATAAGTTTATTAAATATATATTTTTATTAAATTTAATTAAAAAGTTTTCAATCAATATAATGCACATTTTATCAGTATTTTCCTGAATAGTGTCATTTGAGTATATTTTTATATTAATTATATGGGTGAGCCACTTTTGAGGAATACCCGGTATACATTGTGAAAAATTGAAGTGAATCGGTGAAATGAAAGTATGAATTATATTTGACATTTGACAAAAGTCAGAGTAAGAAAAGTTCTTATAAGACGTTTCTTATAATTAATACACTGAGATGCTGATTGTTAAACTTATTCATACGTAGTATGAAAGTAGATTTTTAATCATCATCATTTTCAGCTTACTCAACTATTTCCAATTCTGGTGCAGCCTCCCTCACATATTTAGATATTCTATTTGTAGTTTGGCCTATTTTTATACTTAGTTTTAGTATAATTTTTTTTAACTTTTTTTTACTTTAGTTTTTGTTAAATTCATTTTGAGACCTACTTTACTGCTAGCTGTATTTAGTTCGTTAATGTGTGTTTGTATTTCTTCAGAACTATTGGCTATTAGGACTATGTCATCAGCGAATCTAAAGATATTTTCCATCTATTTTTAATCCTTTGTTGGTCCAGTCTAGTTTTTTACGGAAAATTTCTTCTAGTGTTGCTGTAAACAGCTTTGGGTATATTGCGTCTCCTTGTCATACTCCTTTGCCAGGTAGGAACTCTGGGGTTGTTTTATTTATTTAAATTTATTTAGCACCATTAAATATTTTTAATTTAAATACAAATTTACTTAACGGTAGAGAAACAGACTTAATTAACTTATTTAAATTTCAATATTATATTCTCTTGTTTATATAAATTTATGTAAACAATGTGGGTTTGCATTAAATGTTGCATGTTTGATTTTTCAAATAATTAAATAATGATTTCCAAACATTAAACGTCAATAGATGCATGCATAATGAAATTATTTATATATTTGAATAAATTAAAATATATAATTATAAAGCACATTGGCAAAAAATATATGCATAATTTATAAATGCCCATAAAGAGAGAAAATCTTTGGTGATAAACCGAATAAAATTATGCGACTCTTTGAAATGCAATTTTAAGGAGCGTCCAGACCAGATGAGCGAGCAGTAACGAGCGCGAGCAAACATTTATTCAAATTGGTTCGTGATTTCTGCTGCTCTCGAGCACATGATCAGCTTCCGTCCAGACCTAGCGATTATTTGTATGTTCGGCGTTGATCGGTGTGTGGCACTTCATGTTCATAATATCGGAAAAAAATATTGCTTGTGCGTCTTTCATTGTATTTTATAAATTGTTGAAACGTTAAAAGAGAAAACGACTGCAGATGAGATGGTGGAACATATCTCTTTTCAAAAATCGAGTTTCTCATGGTGGTAACAATTTACTAAACGGTGTTAAAACAGAAGATTCTGGAAAATTTAAGAACTTTTGTCGGATGTCACTTACAGATTTTAATACCTTATTAGATTTAATTGACATAAAAATAATGAAAAGTGATACCAATTACCGAAAAGCAATTTCACCTAGAGAAAGACTAGCTATAACCTTACGGGTCTTGGCGGTTTTTGTACTTCTTTATTAGTTCTAAAACAACTTCATTCGGCCATTCCATTTTTGATATTCGATCGCAAACGTGGTAAACAAAATCCCGTCCAAACCGAACGTGCAATAGCGCGAATTTTCTTTGATGTACCGACACGGCGTAGAACAGCGTCGAGCGCGAGCAAGCAATCATTCGCTCGCTCGCAGAGCCGTCCACACCAGTTAAGCGTTCCCATAGAACATACCCGAATTCTTGCTCGTTCCTGCTCGCTCATCCGGTCTGGACGCCCCTTTACATTCTGACGCTTAGTGTGCAACGCGCTTTAATAATAACAATAAACAAACTCTTGCAACTCCCGTTTAATTAAACCATAATAAACTGTCTTAATTATATACAATTTAAACTTTTATTAGACGTGTTAATTTTTTTCTACAGATAGCCACGATGGCCTTGGACCTGTTACACCAGAGCGGCCGTTTTTGTATCCGCCACCTGCCGGGCACCCCCCTTCGCCTGAGGATAGGGCTGCACACGGGCCCCTGCTGTGCGGGGGTCGTGGGGCTCACCATGCCCCGCTACTGTCTCTTCGGCGACACGGTCAATACAGCCTCCCGAATGGAATCAACAGGTATGTTTTGATTGAGCTGCATCTAGAAGCATGATGTGTTTTCTAGTATCAGTGTTATGCAGGGAGAGTCTTAAATAAGTGCAAATAATTTCAAGGCTGTTAGATGTCGATAAAAGAAACATATTTTCTCTTTACCCTTTTTTCAAATAAGTTCAAAATAACGCAGTTATACTACTTTGAAAATTTCCAAAAAAAAATATTTTTGCTTATTTTGAGAATCACTGGATCTTTTCTGGATTTTCTTTCTTGTAAATTTAATCTACTACCTATGTTGCCATATTCTCTAGAATTAATGTGTTTTAACTGAAAACTAAAAAAAGTTCCAAAAATTTTTTCAAAAAATTCCCAATTTTCAAAAAAAAATGTTAGCGATAAAAACCTGATAATCGTGTTTGTGGGGTCGAAATATATTACGCCTAAAAATATTTGCACTTATTTAAAACTTACCCTGTAGAAAAAGTATTTTTTAATAGATGAAAAGCCAGCAGAGAAAACGTGATTAATCTAATTTTATAAAGTTTTAAAATATTGGCCAAAAGTGTCGCTAGTGCGTCGTTTACTTAAAAAAAACAGCGTCTAAGACGGTTGGAAATAACAAGATTGGTTCAGCTCCTCTTGAATTATAAATGATGTAACTAATATGTGATTTGAATATAAAATTATATAGTTTCTCACATAAATATTCATGAAAATTTTTGATTTTGTTGTAAATTGCTGTTTTTCTTTATTAGGGGCTGCTTGGAGGATTCATATGTCAGAAGCAACCAAATCACGTCTTGAGAAAGCTGGAGGTTACCATATAGAATCCCGAGGACCCACTGAAATCAAAGGAAAGGGTACAATGGACACGTATTGGTTACTTGGTAAAGAGGGATTTAATAAAGAATTGCCAGTACCACCGTCAATTGAGTAAGTCCCGTTTTTTTATTAAGATATTTTATGCGCGATTTACAATATGAATAAAATCTTCACATCATAATTTTTGTGATGGTTTTTGACAGTAATTTCATTAAACGAAAAACTCTTTTTCTTGCCAATAAAAAATATATCTGCCGTAATCATACATTTTTTGATACATATACAGGGTGGTCCAAATATTAGCATATTGCAGATAAAATTAAGTAAAATAATTGTATTGTCCTAAAATGCTTAGTTTCGGAGATACAGGTTGTTGAAGTTTCATTTTTATTTCGATTTTTTCCAAATAATTTCTGAAATAACGTCAATATTTGGATGAAAATTGGTGTCTGGGAGTTTTTTGACATGAGACATTTGATTTTGATGTCAATATGACTCCTATTTATAGAGGGCGCCACCTACATATTTGTAACTGGTTTGTAAAGTAATAACTTTTTATCCGAACCTGTATAAAACTACTGAGTAAAGAAATGTACATTTATGACGTTTTGACGTTCTAGAGCTATTTGGAATCGAAATTATCAATACCTGTCATTATTGACATAAATTAAACTAAGTTGACTAAATAGTTATTGTATTTTTTTTGTATTTTACTAAGAGTGAGTCCCAGGTGGGACCCTCCACTGAGGCCGGGAGGGCCTAAATAGTTATTAGACTGATATCATAAATTTGAAATGATTTTCTGCCAAAAGTTCAACAGAAACTGTTTTATCATCATTTTTTTTGGAAGAAATTATTTTTTTGAAAGATAATTAATTAAAAAAAATAAAAACGTCTTAAATTTATCATTCCATTCAAATAACTATCTACTCAACACGTTTATTATTTGTCAACAATGACATGTATTGACTAATTCCATTGTAAATATCTTTAAAATGGTAGTTCGCGGCGATTTTTACCTAGAGACATTTTTCACGTAAAAAATGACGGAAATGTATATTTTTGTACCTGTATATTTTCGTACCTCTACAAACCTACAGTAGGTTTATAGAGGTACGGACGAGAAGTTAGTATTCTTACAAACAGTTTAAACTCATGTGGCCCCTACAAATAGGAGTCATATTGACATCAAAATCAATTTTCATCCAAATACTGGCGTTCGATCAGAAATTATTTGGAAAAAATCGAAATGAAGATGAAACTTCTACACCCTGTATCTCCGAAACTAAGCAATTTAGGACAAGTTTTCCACCATTCTAAAGATTTGTTGGTCATTCACTCTTTTGTGGCCATTTTTATAATTCCTATGACAGCACTGATGAAAGATGCTGGACTTTGAATGGCATTGATGAACCTTGACATCATTCTGACTGAAATCATCTCTTTACATCATTCATTGTCCTAGAAGATAAGGTGATGGTGGTCCTTCGAAGACATTGATGGAATATCAACTATGTATCTATAACCTGTAGATTTGATGCTTTTTTTCTTTCTAAAAAATGAGGGGCTTGAGGATTATAATGATATTTCCTAACTAAAACATACTTTCATTTCATTTTTCTACATTCATATTAAAACGGACATTTAATTTGCGGATTTAAAATCTATAATACGGAAGAAACCCTTGTAACGTTTTATAATACGCGCTGATTGTGCATTTAACCTCCTAGATCTCGTTTAAGATTCGATCTTGAACGGTTTTATTCCACATTTCGCCACGTAATAAAGGCAAACTTTCGACGACTCAATTCAGTTTAAATCGTATCGTTCGCAATAACAAGCGGGTCACGATACAATTCCGGGGGCCCGCAGCTCGCGACCTTCGCGGAATCCGGATTCGTTTACGAGGATAATCCTCGGAATAATGCGCTTCTGGAGGGTGAGATTTGCGAAATTGATTTGTAGGTTCAAAAAAAAGGTCGCCAGAAGTTTTTGCTTGTGACGCACTTATTAAAATGGTTAATTCTGACTCTGTTATTTTTTTCAACTTTTTTAAAGTTTATTCTTTATTTTACAGTGCCTTGTTCTAATTAGACTATAAAGAGTAACCCAATAAAAAAAATGTGCTTTTTTATTTTTAAACAGAACATATTTTTATGGTTTATAGCAGTTTTTATTGATTTAAACACAATTTAGATGGGTAAGGGAGAAGATGTATGGTAGAAGTTAATCATAGCCACCTTATAAATCTATTGTGACCTAGATCTATTGTGACCTTGTCTCTTGAGTTATAACTCATCATACAGTCTCAGCGCTTTGACAAAAGCGAGTATCTGAGACGGTTTTACAGAGGTTAGCTCTCCATCTCCGATATCAATCGTAGCAAAGATTATGGCACGAATGATTTTCGTCTCGACGGACGCACTCAGTGACGAGGTGTTCTGGTGTTTCTTCATTTTTTCCTACAGAATCTGCATTTGTCGTGGTTTCTTAGGTTCAATATAATAAGGTTTTCACTGAGGAGACAGTGTCCTGTTTAAAACCCCGTGACAGCCCGAGGATCGTTGGTAATCAATAAAATCCTACGAGAAATTTCTACGATTGTCTTAGACCGTTGGAGGATTCTCATTCCAGGTTACGGATGGGGTCTTCTAGGTTTTTAAGTTCCGCTTTAAGTTTGTTTCCACTTAGGGAGCAGAATGGTTCTGGTCCAGTTAGTGGAGTGTTCGCTCATTTTCTAGCTAGAACGTGTGCTTTTTCATTACCTTTTTTCACTTGATGGGCTGGTACTCAGAGTAGGAGTATTTTATAGTATAGGAGAAAGGATGACAGGTGGAAATTATTTTCATAATTCATTTGAATTAATCCTAAAATTTTAAAACCAAAAAACTGGAAAATAATTAGATTTATAATTGATCAGTCGTAATTAAAATATCATCAGTTATACAGGATGAGTTTCCTAGGATGTCCTCTATGGGTATCTCGGAAACTATTGGAGATAGAGAGTCAGTTAAATAGGGAAAGAATTGCAGTTTTGTGGGGTCATAAATATACGCTTTTCAGATTTTCGAAAAAGTTCATGACTTACTAGATATTTCGAAAAAAACAAATTTCGGCTATTTTAAAAATTGTCCCTAATTCCATTATAATCTATTTTAGACAAAAAGTTTTCAGATAAAAGTTTTAGATAATCACCACTAACTAACTTCCACTGGAAAGGTCGGGTATTTATGAAATTTCTTGTAAATACTGTAATCAGAAATATGTTGGGCAAACTAGAAGATCAATATTAACTAGATTTAAAGAACATTTAGCTCAGATAAGATATGGTAGACCGGATAAATCGTTGCCAAACATATTGTTGATAAAGAACATTGTATAGATCTTAATAATTTAAAATTAATTAAACAAGTCTCAAATTACAGGCAATTAGATGCACATGAAAGCGTCAGAATTAATAAATGTAAAGATAGTATGAACAGAGACAACGGTCCAATTCCTTCAAGTTGTTTGTTCCTACTACTCTACTGGCGGAAATCTAACTGTTACGCTCAGTTGGCTCTGACTCGGTTGGCTAGATTTTGCCACGCCCACTCGGTGCCCACTGGGTACTTGTAGATTGTACTTTAGTTTATAATCATCTGCTGATGATGCTAACATGGTTAGCGAAACGCGCGTCCAGTGTAAAAGTAAAAGTATTTTGCTGTGGTGATTTAGTGTTTTTATTTTGCTGTGTAACACCAAAGGTTCCAACCCTCAACTGTAATTTACAAAGATTGGATGTGACAATTTCACTTTTCTGAGAGCAACGACGAATGAACTTGTTTCCATGGCTAACTAAGTGAAATTAGTCAAGAAAGATAAGAATTGGCTATAACTCAGTAATTTTGTAAAAGAAACATATTATAGCTTATATCGCTGAAAAGCTTAAAAAATGGCGCTTTTTATGAAGTCATGGCCAACTATGATTTCCATTTAAAAAAACATATGTTTGTGTCATATGTCAAAAATGACAGGCTTTAGAAAAAATCGGAGAACACAATCTCATTAGAAATGTGATTATCTACAATTTTTATCTGAAAAATAGATTGTGGAATTAGGGACAATTTTTAAAATAGCCAAAATTTGTTTTTTTCGAAATATCTAGTAAGCCATGAACTTTTTCAAAAATCTGAAAGGCGCATATTTATGACCCCACAAAACTGCAATTCTTTCCCCATTTCACCGACTCTCTATCTCCAGTAGTTTCCGAGATGCCCATAGAGAACATCGTAGGAAACTCACCCTGTAGATACTAAATGTCAAACGAAGACTTTTTGGCGCGGACTATAATGCGAGAATTTGCGAAATAATGTGGTGTAATTTAGAATGAAATTTATGGAATTGAATTTTCGTAAAGAAGAATCGTTAAAACTTTTTGCCTGTAATGCAGTGATTAAAAATTCTTTTCTTTATCTCACTCTCCTTCTTTATCTTCATTTTTCCTTTGCAGTGTTTCCTTAACCTTATTAGAGTTAAGGAAATGACGTAGCAAATGAACAGCGAAATTTTGCTCGCCTAAATTCAATTATAGATTCAGCACCACCTGGATAGTCTCACAGATCTTTCTATTAGTTATTTAACAGTACCACTCTTTAATAATTAATACATAACTCTGTCAATACAGTACCCGATCAATAAAAAGTATTGCCATAGAATACTACATAATTATTTTATTCTATTTTTAGAATATGTTTTTTGCCCAGTTTATCATGCCCTGTAATGTAAGGATGATGATGTTCCTGGTATATAGATCAGGTTACTTTTTTCATATTCTAGAAATAATGCCGAATTAATGAAAATGCAGAAAAAAAATACAGAATTGATCTACATTTTTTTCAAATTCTGCATCAATTTTTTTGCAAAACGACTTTAATTCTATAAAACTAAAACTCGTTGAATTTAAAAGAAACTTTTACTGAATACTTTTATTCGTATTATTGCAATATTAAGAGAGAAACTTGGATGGAAGTAAGAAACCTTTAAAAGTTAGAGAAACTACTTGTTAAAAAAGTGTACGCTACGAAATGGATGTAAAAGAAAAGTAAGTAGTTAAATCAAAACATAAAATGGTATCAAGGTTTTCACTGCAGTAAAAAATTCTGAGGAACTGAAGTTGTAAATACTGTTACATATTTGTTTACATATTGGCATCTTAGGGACAATGCTGAAAAATCAAATAATTTAACAATATAAAACAAACTGTTTTAAGTGCAAATACTTATTCTGATTGACTGCCTACAAAGTTTATTTTTCTTCGATAATATTTATCCCGATTTTGTTTGTTATCGAACATTTGGTTCATTATAAAAGTTCGAACAAACTTGGAAGTTTGGTTTTGTAATTGTTTGGACGCGTGGGAAATTCTTAGCAAAATAATACTTATTTACTATTGGAAAAATACGGAACTGTTATAATGTTTTTGACGTTACAAAGTTTCATCATAAATTATTTGTTTTCTAGCAACGAATGAACTTTGGGAAGACATATTTTGAGAGATTTGGTTTAAAAAAATATATTTTTTTGAGAAAATGTTCTTATGGACTTAGAACAACTTTTATTAACATATTTGCTTTTGTTTTTTACTGCTGGAAACAGGGAAAGTCACGGGTAAGTAATTTATAATCCATATTTGATAATATATGATATATACAGGTTAGGTTAGGTTAAGTTAGGTCTTAAATATAAGTGCAAATATTTTCAGGGGGTAGATAACTTCCAAAGCATTTTTCAAAAAATTCCAACTTTTCAATTTTTTTTTCGTGAAAAATAACCATAATGGTGTTTCTGGGGTTGAAATATACTGGCGCTAAAAATATTTATACTTATTTAAGACCCACACTGTAGTGTGTGATAAAAAAAACATTTCTTTCAATATGGGGGGGGGGGGCATAATGAAAGTCATGTTGGAACCACTCTATTGATGCGCGAGTATCTACACGCTTTCCTTTATTTCTTGATTTGAAAAATTCATATTTACAATTTTGGTTTATTTTAATTTACAAAGTTTCGATGTGACAGTTTCACATTTCTGAGAGCAACGACGATTGAACTTGTTTCCATGGCTAACTAAGTGAAATTATTCAAGAAAGATAGGAAATGGCTATAACTCAGTAATTTTGCGAAAAAAACATATTATAGCTTATATCGTTAAAAAGCTTAAAAAATGGCGCTTTTTATGAAGTCATGGCCAACTATGTTAAAAAAAACATATGTTTGTGTCATATGTCAAAAATGACTTTAGAAAAAAAAACGGAGGACATAATCTCATTAAGGATGTAATTATCTACACCTTTTATCTGAAAACATTTTGTCTAAAATAGCTTATAATGGAATTAGGGACAATTTTTAAAACAGCCGAAATTTGTTTTTTTTTTAAATATCTAGTAAGCCATGAACTTTTTCAAAAATCTGAAAGGCGCATATTTATGACCCCACAAAACTGCAATTCTTTCCCTACTAAACCGACTCTCTATCTCCAGTAGTTTCCGAGATACCCATAGAGAACATCGTAGGAAATCAAGGGTAGTATTAAACTATTTGTAAAAAACGCTTTCTCCAAATTGGCTAATTCAAATTCAAATTCAAATTCAAATTCAAATTTCTTTATTAGACCCCATTAAGTTTTACAGAATAATATTAGTATTAATAAATGTGTGTCTAAAGGGATCGCACCGCGATTAAAAAACCGATACAATGGCACAAAGTGCCACAGTGGTGCGACCCCAAATACAAAATAGAAATAAATTAAATTATAGAAATAAACAAAATTAAAATTATATAAAAAAAGTGAAAATATAATTTTATCAGGGACGAGCGGAGATAAGCAGAGAGGCACAATGAAACAGTGTAAAAACCGGAACAGCAACCAATGACGGGCATATCAGAAGAACAAGATCTCACAAATCAGTGGAAGAAATTATAATATTTACGAATTTAGTAAATCATTTTTAATTTGTTTTTTATAATCTGTAAATGATTGAAATTTAAAGTTATTAGAAATATTATTCCACAAATGTGGCGCCATGAAACTGAAAGATTTTTGGAAGTTAGCTGTTTGGTGTTGAGGAATTTTAAAATAATGCACTTGTCTAGTCGAATGATCATGGTCAACGTAGTGAAACAATGAGAACAAATAGGGAGGCTGCTCTGTAGTTAAAATTCGATAAATGAATGTCATTAAATAAAATTGTCGTCTGTTAGTCATGGATAAAATATATAAATTTTTAAGATGTGGCGTTATATGATCTCTAAAAGGAATGTTAAAAGAAAACCGTAGACACGAGTTTTGAAGTATTTGGATTTTTCTAGAGAATCTAGCGTTTATGGATGTACCATAAACAACATCGCCATAATCAAATAAAGATAAAATAAATGTGTCACATAATTGATACTTGTCTTTGATGGTATATATTTCTTAAGAGACGAAAAATTCTTCAACCGTATATAAGCAGCCTTTAATTTAGTAGTTATATGTGCCTCAAAAGAAAGCTTCGCATCAAAATAGACTCCAAGATTTTTAGTCTCTGTAACAATGGGTATCGCAACATTATCTATATGGATATTCATGTTACCAGCCGTATTTGTAATTTTGTTTATATCACTACCAAATACTATAACACAAGATTTACCGGCATTTAATTTCAAATTATGATCCAGAGCATATTTATTAATTTTATTAAGATCGTCGTTAAAATTTACTGAAATTGTGCCAAATTATTAGTATCTATTCTGCAATAAATTTGAGAATCATCTGCATATTGCTGCAATTCAGAAAACTCTAATTCCTTATTCATATCAGCTACATATAACGAAAATAAAAGTGGCCCCAGAATAGATCCCTGAGGAACCCCAGAAATCATAGGAATATAACTAGATTTTTGTTTTAAACTTCCCCGTTTCATGACAAAACAATGTGATCTATCTTTTAAAAGGTTTTTTATCAATTCTAAAGAGCCGTCTGAAAATCCAAAATACTGTAATTTTGCTAGGAGCACACTCTTTGAAAAATTCTAGTAGTATAAGAGAAAGAGAAAATGGGTATTTTTTTATTTTATATCTTGGTAGATTAACTTAAATACACATTACGCAAATTCCATTTGTTCCAAACTTTTTGCCACACACTATATTCGTAGTTTATTTTGGTTTTTTACTCAATAAAATATACTAGAATAGGGATTATACTGTGACAATAGTTAAAAAAGATAATTTTCAGTAACAATATGGAATTTTTTTTTACGTGCGAATTTTGAGAAATTCACGGAGTAGAGATAGAGTATTCAATTTATTTTCGTCAATGGGAACATCGGTCTGAATTAAGTTGGTAATGGCATTACGAAATGCTCTAAAATTGCTTTACACTTCGACAATGCACGCGGCATATCTATTGTTACCGGCAGGCATTATGCACTTGAGTGGTTTCAGTTGTGCGCCGAAGAGATAGAGAGCACAAAATAGGATTAATTGTTCTAAAAAGTACTGCTCTTGGATGGGAAAATGTTCCATAAACTTTCAGTTTTTTAAGTTAAGTAATTAGATTTTTTTAACTTCGGGGTATTTTGCTACTTGCACTGTATACCTCAGTCAAAATAAACAAAAAAAAAGGGGGTTAAATAACAATAATTCGCATAGAGCTGGAAATTGGTACAGGTCTTAAATACACTATTATAAATGATATCTGAAAAGTCCCCACCGCTCTCTCACATCTCCTAAAAAAATTATTTAAGTTCAAAGGTCAAAAATATGATTTTTTGTTTTTTTTCTCCTAAACGGTAAGCACTATCGCAAAAATACCTTAAACAAATGTAGATTTTCTACAATAATGGTTCTTATACTTTTTTCTTACGAACCACCATTCCTGAGATATGGCGATTTCAAACATCGAAAATAATATACTAATATGCTCACATACTCGGCCGATATACATCATAGGAGACTCAATTTAATAAAAAATATTGTAACGGATTTCGCCCATACAAATTGAAACACGTAATGATTTAATTGACTGCGCAGACGTATTCAAAAAGATTGACTCTTCTCAAGTCATCATCACAAGTGGAATTCGCTTGCTTCTTGCATCTTATATGGTGCTCCAAAAAAATTGATTCTACAGGGTCCGGCAATAGTGCGTCGGGCATCTGTAGCTCCTAGAATAAATAACTTGAAAATGTTGTTTAAGTGCATACCTGAAGTATGTACCAGGATGTATTTCAGGAAAATATTTTAACTTCTATAGAGTGGCTCAAAAAAGTGTGAGTGGACCTGGATGATTTTTTTTAAATGGAACACCCTGTATATTATTACATTTTTGGCTTCCTTTCCGATCACTTTACATAACCCTAAGATATGAATAAATACATTTTGATAGTTTCAGAGATATTAAAAAATAAATGAAAAATATATATTTTTTCAGCCCTTCTTAAAAAAATTATTAAAAATACAAATCTTTTCTGAAAACAAAACTATATTAGGTATTTACTTTAGATGGTCTGTACTTACTTTGCTATAAATATGAAAATCGTAAATTATACAGGATGTTCAAAATTCGAAGCCAAACTTTCTAAAATATAAAATAATTTTTTTTCGTTTTTTTGAAATGGAACACCATGTATATTATTTTTTCAATAGACGGAGAATTAAAAAATGAACATTTTTTATATTTAGAGTATTTCAAAATTTTTAACGGTTTCGCAGATATTTGCGGTTTTATATTTCATATGGCATTTTCCATAGTAAATTTTTATCAAAGCCACCCAGTAATTTTTCTCTCGTATTTTACCATTGAAAGCGCCATATGAAATAATACTGCGTGTATCTGCGAAACCGTTAAAAAATTTTAAATACTCTAAATACAATAAATGTTCATTTTTAAACTCTCCATCTAATAAAAAAATAATATACAGGGTGTTCCATTTAAAAAACAAAGAACAAATATTTTATATTTTAGAAAGTTTAGCGTAGAATATTGAACATCCTGTATGAATTACAATTACCATATTTATAGCAGAGTAAGAACAGACCATCTAAAGTAAATACCTAATATCGTTTTGATTTCAGAACAGTTCTTGTATTTTTAATAATCTTTTTAAGAAGGGCTGAAAAATATATATTTTTAATTTATTTTTAATATCTCTGAAACTATGGAAATATATTTATTCATATCTTAGGGTTATGTAAAGTGATCTGAAAGGAAGCCAAAAATGCAATAATATACAGGGTGTTCCATTTAAAAAAAATCATCCAGGTCCGCTCACACTTTTTTGAGCCACCCTATAGAAGTTAAAATATTTTCCTGAAATACATCCTGGTACATACTTTAGGTTTGCACTAAAACAAAATTCGCAAGTTTTTTATTCTAGGAGCTACAGATGCCCGACGCACTATTGCCGGACCCTGTATAGACAAGTATAGATATTTAAGTTTTGTTAAAAATACTCAGAACAATAAAATGGTACAACTTTCTTGTCTTCCTCCAACATATGCTTCTGCCTGTCAACACTTATATCGTGTATACTATCAAGTTCAATTGTGGCTAGGCAATTAAATGAACCCAGAAGACTGGGGTTGGAAATTTATAGCTATAGAAATACTTTGGAGTCGATTAAAACTTTACTTCCACCTGCTCAAGAAAAACTACTTAACACAAAATGGGTTGTAGCGCAAGTCTTGCTCCAATATTGAATTAAATACAGATGAGGATTTTGATGAGGAGACAACTGTCATAGATGGATTTCCAGATATTCCGCAAGAAGATGAGAAAGAAGAAAGCGAAGAAGACATTACTGTTGAAGTACCATTTGAAGATTACTACTCAGATTAAAATTCTTACAAAATCAACAATAATCCGTTCGACCATAATCATTACCAAGGGTACAGTTTTTTAATATTAATAGTATCTTTTAATATTAATAGTACCAAACCACGTTAAAAAAACGCGTCAAATACACTACCTCACAGGTGGTGATGAAATGTGTGCATATTATAAAAAAAACGAGTTTTTCAACTTTTGAAATCGCCATATCTCAGGAATGATGGTTCGTAAGAAAAAAGTTTTAGAACCATTATTGTAGAAAATTTAATGGTCTACAACATTTGTTTAAGGTACTTTTGCGATAGCGCTTACCGTTTCGGAGAAAAAAGCAAAAAAACATATTTTTGACTTTTGACCTTGAACAATTTTTTTAGCAGATGTGGGAGGGGTGGGGATTTTTCAGATATCATTTATAATAGTGTATTTAAGACCTATACCAATTTTCAGCTCTATGCGAATTATTGTTAATTGAAATGTCTTTTTTGACTGGGGTATGTAATAAAATCTACAAAATAAAATAGTTATTTTTTGCAAAATCCGCTGGGGCGATTCCAACAGAGACCAATTTGTCATCGTTAGTCAGATTGGTTAAAAAATATCTATTTTTGTATATTTATTACATGTTTTCAACTTTTTTTGTATTAAATAAATTATATATTTATTGTAGGTTGGATGAGAGTCTTATAGTATCGACTCTAGCAAACATTCCCAACATTAAAGAAGATTCCATAGCAGACTCCATATCTTTGGAGAATACTAGCAGACATATGAGTGTCAGCGAAGGCCACACAAAGGCTCCAAGTCCAAACCCTACATTCATCAAAACAATGGAGCTGTCAAAATTTTCTTCGCTGACGAGAACTCATGACGACAGGTAAATACACCTTTTTTCATACATTTTCACAAAGTTTTTAGTCAATGTTTGGCTCATAAATTTTTATTACAAAAATATTTTTTTGTACATATTTTTTTTTGTGCATTTTGAATATTAAAAAATGTTTTTGCCATAAGTAGTTTATTTAAATTTTACTCTCAACTAACAGACGGGGTAACATGGCATCCCCTAACAGTGAAGTGTTCTAATTGATCACCCCTATAATTTTTTTATTTTTTTAGATATAAAAACGAAATTTGGTATGTTAGTATATGACGTTTTTGGTCACTTCCTGTTTCTCCGGAAATGCCTATAACTTTTTTACTCGATAGAAAATGACACTCTGAATAAAATGACATATCATATATCAACTTTTGACATTATCGCATATGGTTTATTTGAAATTGTAACATGCGACAATAATATAACGACAATTTGACTCGAAATAGCTATTGTGTGGTACCAAATTATTCGTAAAAATGCTTTTTACAAATATGCTAATGAGCTACCCTTGTACCATTTGAAAAAATTGAGGTATGATTTGAGCATCTTTTAACCCGCCATGCCAGGACAAGACACGGAAAACATTAGACTATCAAATATATTTTTCCAAGTCTCCTTGATTAAAAATTAGTGTTTTTAACACAGCTATGGCACTCTAGATTGATATTTAGAATAATTTTTTTTTAAGCCAAAACGTCAAAAGTTGACATATGATATGTCATTCTATTCAGGATGAAATTTTCTATCCAAAAAAGTAAAAATATAGCAAGGGTGCCATTTAAAAAATAGAAGTTGTACTCATTTCCGGTGAAACACGAAGGGACCAAAAACAATTGAATATGTAATGATTTTAGTTCGTTACATGTCTTTTTTATATATGATATATATGATGTCTGGCATATTGTCATCGGATCCCTTATCGATCAGGCCTGATAATTTATTTGGCACGCTTGGCGTAATTTTTACGTTCTCTAGTCAACAACCTAGCCAACCCCAATCGTTTCACTGCTCTGTGGAGGCGCTGTTAACATCGCTCCAAGGTTTGGCTCTCCGCGCTTAACACCACTTTGGGTTTGGCTGTCGGCCATCTTAATAGTCCCGACTTAGAGAAATTGCAATTATTTAAATCTTGCTGTATAATTTGAATCGGCTGCTATTTCGAAGCTACAGGTAAAGATGAGTTATTATCTTTTTTAGAATTCGTTATTATTACTGCGTATTTTTAAGGTAGAGTTTTGGATTGGCCCACCTCAACTCGTATTTGCTGTTTGCTGACACATTGGTTTTCTTTTGTCCTCCAGAATATTAAATGGAAGAAAGGACAGTTCTTTTGTTTATTATTGAGCCGTCGGAAGTATTTCGAGGTAGGTTTATTTTGCTTATTAGACCTTGTTTGGTTTTAAACAAGAGTTTCGTATTTTTAGGGTCCAAGGTTATGGTCCAAGTTACGGACGTTGTCCAAGGTACGGACAGTATCCAAGGTACGGGCATTATCCAAGGTCCTAGTAGTGTTCCAAGATACGGGTAATGTTCCCATGTATAGTTTTCCTATGTACAGATGTCCTATGGACGAGTGTCCACTGTACGGATAGTTTATCCTATGTACACAGTGCTCCAGCGTGGATGTGGCGTAGGCCCCATGCTGCTTCGTTCCTGTTTTTAAGCCTAGTCGATAGTTACGGCTGTATTAGTTCATGGTGTCCTCACCTTGGCCCCTTTTGTTGCATTGGCCGAGAGACAGTACAGAGATACAAGTCCCACCTCACGCTGTTACTGTTTGAAGCAGGATTGCCTCAAGAACAATCAGCTAAGTTTAGATTTAAGTTCTGGTTTTTATGTTTTATATTTTCTATACTTTTAGTCTTGAATAATTAATATCGTACTAGTGGTTAAATTACTTATGTCCTATTAGTATTTAAAATATGATTTAGATCTTAGTTTCATTACGAACATATCTTGTAATGGTGTTACTTTCTATGTATATTATTATTGCGTGATTTTAAAGATGAATTACCGGATAGAGATTCTAGAATCTATGGCTTGCAACATCTTAGATTTAATGTCGTATAAAATTTAACAAATTAATTAAAGTAATGCTACACTTTTTTATATTTTCTATAGCTCTATCTATATTGTATTTTCCATAGTCTTTCATTGAGCGTATTTAATATTATTTTTGACATAACTTTCTTCCACATAAACTAACCACTATAATGATTAAAATTCTACAATGTTATTTACCATCAGAGTCCATGAATAGATATAGTCATTAGTTTTAAGTATTATACAACTGTGTTTTCTTTCTCTGTACATGCCTGGCGCCCAATATCTATTTTTTTTTGTTTATTGTTATTAATTAGTTTTCTTTCCAGTGAAATACCTTATCCACGACTGCTCTCCGATGAAAAGCTGCCGTTCGCAGTGGTAGTTTAAAAAACTATAAATATAACGATCAACACAACCAATCCTAATTTATGTAACATACCAAATCTCGTTTTTTCATCTGAAAAAATAATAAAGTTTTAGGGGTGAGCCGCACCCGGTATTGCCTTTTACTTAAAATCTATTGTTTCTTTGGTATAAATTGTAACACAGATATTATTAGAGGCACATATTTTTCTTTTACCCAATTTCGTTTGCTGCTTGTCTCAAAAGTCAACTTGTCACAAGGAAAATACAGATAAGCATGTTATTTGTCAACCCTTATAACTTCTTAATAAAATCTCGGAGAGACAGGATATTTATAGCTTATATTTTTAATATTTTTTTTCACAAAATATTATCCTTTTGTATTTATAGAAAAATGTTTATATTTTTATTTAAACTTTAAAACCTAAAAAACCATATCAAAAAATAATATGTACCTAGTGTGAGAATTTTTAAAAATTGAATTAAAAATGACCATCGAACAAAAAGATTAAGGAATGACTATAATACCACAGATTATACAGATTATAAACTTATCGTCATAAGCATTGTTTTTCGTGGTTCCAATTTCGGAGTCGCGCACTAGTTAGGTTACTAGTTTGCGCACAAGCACGCCCACTTATGGCCTCTAAAATTGTGCACAGCGCCTGACCAGACTTGTGACCGCGGCCCAGTTATTACGCTGTTTAAACGGTTAAAAAACGCTTAAAAAAGTTTATTTTTGCGCACAAGAAAACTTACTCGTTTGCTCATCGTCATAAAAAACAATTTTCGTACCACGAATTAGGGACAAGATTTTTATCTGTATACTTATAGGATACCTAATCTGTGATAATACTATCTATATATTATGTATTTAAAGACCTAATCGATTCTAGAAAACATTATGATGAAACAGTTTGTGTTAAACCTTTCAAATATATTATTTCGGTCTAATAACTATCTATCTAATCAACATATTTAATTTTTGTCAATTATGACATGTATTGACTATTTTTCCAAATATCTTGATCATAACCATTACCCGTACCGATTTTTACCAAGAGACAATACAAAGAAAATGCAACTAAAAACATAATGAAAATGTCAAATTTTTAGTTTCAGATCGGATCGCATCGTGAAGAGCATCTCCGGCGAAACTCCGATCATTCTGGGCACGCCGGTTTCAGCTTCGGAAGTGGCAGCTGCATTGCTGGGAGCTTCGACGAGCTCGTTGTGCCCTTACAGAAGGGGACACCGCGGACCTGGTAAAATCAAAGTAGGCAACTATTTGCCAGTTTACAACCCATGTAGTTGTGGGCTAGTTGAAAGTTAGAAGTCTTCTGACGTAACTATTCCAAATATTGCGACACATGATGCGTCAGATTAATGAGATTTAATTTAACAACAATACAAAAATACCGGGTGTTTGTCAGAAGTGGCTCACCTCTATAAGTTTTTTATTTTTTTTTAGATAAAAGTGAGAGCTGATATGTTAGTATATGAATTAAATCAGTATTGATCGACGCATTCAATTATTTTCGGTCACTTTATATTTCACTTGAAATGACAACTACTACTGATTTTTAAATGGTACCCTCGATATTATTTTACTTTATTCGATAGGAAATGACATTGTGAATAAAAAGACATGCCAACTTTTGATATTTTTTCTTGTAAAAATAGTATTTTAAGTTTCAATTTCGGGTGTCATGACTGTGTTCACAACGATAATTTGGTTCGAAATAGCAAGTATGTAGTACCAACCTATTCGTAAAAAAATGCTTATTCCAAATATACTAATTAGGGAATCCAAGTCTCGGGACCAAAAATGCTTTCAGGAATTCGGGAACAAATATCAGGTCTCGGGAGTCCCGAAACTGGTCCCGAAACTAAAATACACAGTATACTTATCTAATATCGATTGGATCCGTCTTGAGAAAATATAAGAAATTAAATTAATTTAACTGAGATCTCTAATATAAATATTTAATATAATCATATAAAACTATAAAAAACTATACAAACTAAAAAAATATAAGTATATAACGAATCACTTTTGTCCAAAGTAAGGCTTAAGTGCCACAAGGGCATTTAAGGATTTATCATCTAATCTTGAATGAAGCTTACTACAAAATCCACCCGCAACTGAAAAAGCTCTCTCCGATTGGACGCTGGTGGGTGGAATGGTCAGTAAATGCTCGTAACATAGCTGCAAATATTGTCCTCGACAACCGCCATCCTCAAAAAAGACCATTTCTCCTTTTATAATTTTTGATAATCGATCTGGTTTTGTAGCTAATGACGTTTGTATGATTGCTCTTGTTTTTGTTGAGGTAGTAGCTGATATTGCACTTTCAATAAATCCGTCTAACCTTTTTGCCAATGGAACTTTCTCGACCTGATTACTATTTCTGTTTCTTATCTCGGCCGGCGAAACTTCGTCTTCATCTGAAACAGCTATTTGCTCTTGCACTTTGGATTGTGATAATCTTTGCACCAATTTGTCAATGAACTTTAAGATTTCTTGGCTTAGACTGATTAAAATCTAAAGGATTGCTTAAACTTTCTATATATTTTAGTGGATTACAGAGATAACTATGCACACTGGAGGCAAGGGTTCTTCGCTCGTTTACTTGTTGCTTCAATGCTTCCTGTAAATTTTGGCTTAAAGGCGCATTGATTTTTGAAAGTTCTTCGAATATAAACTTAAAGCTAGCATCAGCAGTGTAGAGATTTGCTTCATACCTATATAGTGTCATCACAGCATAGGTTCTAGGCACTTAACAATTCCGTCCATAATTTCAAAATCGTAGTCACAGAGATTTACTGATATGGAGAGATCAATCATGGCCTTTTGTATGCAATCTTTTAGAAAAACAAACCTTTCTAGCATTCCATCGAGGCTATTCTAACGGGTTTTACAATCTAAAATAAGATTTAATTCTCGGTTGTATTTTCCGTGCACGTATTTCTGTAAAACAGTGTTTTTCAATGGAGAGCGCCGAAATAACTTTTAACACGATTTTTCGGACTTTGTTGACTAATTCGTTTTTGTTGTAGCTGTCAGTTAGGTCGTAAATGATCTCTTCATCCATAGTTTCATTGTCGTTGTCGCTATAATTATCATCACTTGACAGGTCTTCAATGATTTTCTGATGGTTTCTTTTACAATACATTACTTCAACAACTGCAAGGTATAATAATTTAGCGGTTTCGGGACCAAGTTGAGGTCCCGGGACCATCATTGAGTCCCGGGACCACTTATTTTATGCTAAGTCCCGGGACTGGATACCCTAATGCTAATGAGCCACTCTCGTTCCATTTGAAAAAAACTGATTACAATTAGCTGACGCTGATGTGATGTTAAATTTCGAAACGAGGAATAGTTACGTGAGAAGAACTATAGATAGAGTATACATTAATAGAGTTTTATTAGAGCGATTAAAATAAAGTCTGTCGACTGAGAGAATTTGGACAGGCGGTATTCAAAATTTGATGGGAAAAACAATTATTTATCTTTACCTTTTATTTAAATTACTAAAAAACTGTCACTGTCGTAATTTTTTCGTTGGAAGGATTATATTTTCTACTGAGTGAATTAGTTTTTGGGAAAAAAAATAAGTTATGAAACTTGATGTTGTTAAAGTATCCCATTTTTCGATAACTATTATCACCCTTTCCGTAGCATTGAACTAAATAAATTTGTGCTTCTTTAACATTTTAAAACAACAGAAAATATGACGTTAATTAAAAATAAAACAAAATTATATTACCATAGAAACGCGTTGTGACTTTTAGGAAAGAAAAAATTCAACCATATTTTTATTTTTTTTCGAAAACGGTATGGACATTTTTGAAAAACTATAAACGAGATTATGTATAACCATTTTCGAATAAGCAAAATATTTTATGAAGAATGTGTTTTTCCAAAAATGCCAATAATAAAAAGTTTTTTCCTCTTATTAAAGAGAATCCGAAGTTATACAGGGTGGAGCCTCTTATACGCCACGGAAGCTCCAAGGAGAACGGTAGTTTATATCGAAATGAAATTTTGGCAGCATATGTAGATTAACTGAAAGCACTTTATAAAAATATATAAAATTATACAGGGTGTCCCCAAAAAAAGTTACACATCAAAGTTGTGTTTTTTCTAATGGAACACCCTATATATTAATTGATTTTCGGATTCTAGGAAAAAAATAAAGATGTGTTTTATTAAAGAAGCATATACCTAAAATCTAAGGATTTTGACATATTTCACATTTTGTGAAAATGAAGAGTAAATTATAAATTTCGATAACAGCTACCTAAATTTTAGTTGACCTTGTATAGTCTGATATTTAATTACAGTAACCATTGTAAGTTAAACCAAATTGAAATTTGACCCGAAAATTTATACAGTGTCAGAGACACAAAATTAATATCGAACATTAGTCACTTTTAAAAGCAAGTTACTCCTTTATTTTAAATGGAACATCCACTATATTTTTCCGGTATTCAATGGGGAATTTATATATCTTCAAAATATTATTAACGATGCCTACCACTCAGACGAAGATTTTCCTAGATCTTTTAATTTTTATGATTTTGCGTCAGTAGATCTTAATTATTCGAAAAATCTATGGTAGCTGTGTGATATACCTTTTATTAATTTAACAAAAATTAAATATTCTATAGTAAAATACTCAACGGTAATAAAAAAACACGTTTAAAACATATTTTAATTATTATAAAATTAAAACTAGATATAAACCTATAATTATGTGACAAAAATTAGCTAGATGAAATCAAATGGTCAAAATGCTTCCTTTCTTGTTAACTGCATAAAATGATTGCCTTTTCAAAAGGATCTTTTCATTTTAAAAGGCATATATGTACCTCGAAAAGCAGCTAAAATAATTTCTCTCATGTTGTCGACAATAGTTGGTCGAGTTTTGTAAACACTGTCTTTAACATATCCCCATAAAATAACCAGACTAGATAAAATCAGGAGCATTTAAGTATTCTATTAATTGGCGAATGCAATGTGCACAAAAAACACAACTTTGATATGTAACTGTTTTTGGGGACACCCTGTAGAACTCTCTATATTTTTAAAAAATGCTCTGAATTAACCTACATATGCTCACAAAATTTCATTTCAATACAAACTGTCGTTCTCCTTGGAGCCTCCGCGGCGCCGTATGAGAGGCGCCACCCTGTAAGGTTATTTGATATTTTATTTAGTGGGTTTAGAAATATTCGTTTTATTTTTTGTTTTTATTCTCTGTCGTTAGTCAATTTGTCTCGAGAAAAAAAAAAACTGCTTTCGTATACACCCTAGAAGAAAATTTAAATTATCTAATTCTTCTTGAGAAATTCCGCAAGTCGGTGCATTTTTCATGCTCAAAAATAAATTGGCTTATTTCGAGAGCATTCTTTAAGTTAGCTCGGAATTCTTTTTACCGATTAGACTGTTTTCCATTTTTAATTAAAGGGGAAAACGCTTTTTGCAAAAATTAATTAGCTAACTAGCGCAGCCACTTAACTCGACATCTTTTGTTTTCGATTTTTTGCCTTGTTTTGTTTTACTTAATCTCTTCTTCCTTAATTTTGCCTGGATATTTCTCAAGGGTCTTTCTGAAAATATAAAAACGAATTTTATAATTGGGTATATACTTTTTCTTTGAATTATTTATTAATTATTTTTATTTCGGTAAGGATATATCCATAATAAAAAAAATTAGTTGAAATTAAAATATATTTACTTTAAGAGATTACTTCTATGATATACAGGGTGTCCCAAATTTGAGGCAAATCATTGGGATCTCGGAAAAGATACGGGATCGGTTAAAAATAGCCAAATTTGCGTAATTTGATGCTGATCAAAATTCAACATCAAAAGTTTTTTGAAAAAAAAACGAGTATTTGCGATTTCGAGATTTTTAATTTCTAAACAGTCGAAATTCAGAAATACAGGGTGAGTCTTAAATAAGTGCAAATATTTTCAGGGCCTATAGATCTAGATAAAAGAAACAAATTTTCTCTTTACTGGTTTTCAAATACCTAAATCTAAAATAACCGAGTTATTTTACTTGAAATTGAAAATTTCCAAAAAAAATAGTTTTTCCTAAAATTTTGAAAACCACTGGATCTTTTCTGGATTTTCTTTATTGTAAATTTAATCTACTACCTATATTTCCATAATATAAACAAATTATGTCTTTTAACTAAAAAAAAATGCCAAATTTTCAATTTTGTTTTCGTGAAAAAACCTCAAAATCGTGTTTTTGGGTTCGAAATATAGTACCCCTAAAAATATTTGCACTTATTTAAGACTCGCCCTGTATATATTGAACACCCTGTAGTATCTAATTCTCATACTATTCATACATCTTTCTCTTCATCTCTATAAAACTTCCCTACCATATTTAAAGGCTTCAACTTCAGAATCAATAATACTGACAATAATTTTTTACCATACTGAAATCTGATATTTTTTAATCAATTGAAATATTACAAAAAACTACTAATTGTAGGTATATCTATACTAATATATAAAATCCTTAAGTGCCTGACATACTGATTAATCAAGATCCTCAAACCGATCCTCAGACCACTCAACGTAAGAAGCTCAATTTTGGCATACAGGTTGATTCTAGGATGTAGAGGTTCCATAAGAAGGGATTTTTCAAAATTCCAGTTCCAAGAGGGTGAAACCACCCTTCATATATTACAATATTTTTTATTTAGAAACGGTCAAGTTTCCGAAAAAACGCTTAAACACGTATATTTTATTTTGTTTTTTACATATTTTAAGATTTTTTAAAAATGTATACAGGGTGTTTCGAAAGATCTGGTCATTGATTAATCACAATCCTGCTTAAAGCGCTTGACGTAAAAAGCTGATTTTTCGAAACTCTAATTCTAAGGGGGTGAAACTATCCCTCAAATATTAAAATATTTTTTATTTAAAAACCGGTAAGTTTTTCGGAAAAACTCTTAAACACGTATATTTTATTTTGTTGTTTTACATATTTTAAGATTTTTCATAAATTTATACAGGGTGTTTCATAAAATATGACCATTGAGTAATCACGATTCTGCTTAAACTGCTTGACGTTTAAAGCTGATTTTTAGCAAACAGATTGACTGTGGGGTGTAGAGGTTCAATAAGGAAGGGTTTATCAAATCTCAAATTCCACGAAGGTGAAAACGCCCCTCAAATATTACAATATTTGTTATTTAAAAGACGGTTAGTCTTTCGGGAAAACGCTTGGACAAGCATAACTTATTTGGTTTTTTTACATATTTTGAAATTTTTTAAAAAATCATACAGGGTGTTCCAAAAAGTTGGGTAATTTCTTAACCACGATTCTGCTTAAACTGCTTGACGTAAAAAGCTTATTTTTGGCAAACGGATTTTTCGAAAGTCAAATTCCAACGAGATGAAACTACCCCTCAAATAGTACCAAGTTATATAATAATATCGCCATATTGTTTTTTCTCATGCTGATATAAATGTGAGAAAATTTTATTCAGTTTGTATGTTAATGGAAATTTTTGCTTTGCTTTATCATCACCATTACAAATGATTAATTCGACGCGAACGAAGTCGCTGGTACACGCTAGTAACATTATAAATAAAAAAGGTATATTTTAACACAGAATCTAAGAATAAAATAAAAAATCGGGTGATTTATCCTCCACACTTCTTTGAAGCACCTGGTAGACTCAAAAATAATTTTAAATTTTGTATCTTAACATTCCCTAAAAATTTTCTATAACACACTTTTTCATAATCCTTAAAACAAATCAAATAATGTACTTGCTTCACATTAAATTTTTATCTCACTGTACAGGGTGTCCCATTTTCGTGTGTTTTATTGGGTTTGGGGTAATTACAATTTTTTCGAAAATCGGCTTAAAAATGACATTTAAAACAAAATGTGATGTATTTTTCTTCTTTTTTTACAAATTTATATTGTTTGACTAACTTTAGCGAATATTATAGAATTATTAAGCCGTGATAGATTAGTATGTTTTGTTTTTGGGTTTTAATTTTTGTCAATTCTTTTGTGATATATAAACATTGATGAAGGCTGTATTGTTAGATTGTTAAGATTTTTAAACAAAATGAAAACTTAATTCAGCGTTTTCGGAATCTAATGAATATGGAGAATATTATATTTCTAGAACGCTCATAACAAGGTAAATTAGGGTATCCCATTATAGAAACATAAATTTTCATAAAAAATGTAGTAATATTATATGAAAAAAAAACGCATCTTTGTATCTCTACCCCATAAAACACACAAATGTGGGACACGCTGTACATTACAACATTAAATCCATTTGTAATATAGATTTTCTCAAAAGTTTTTGTCTCTATTACACTCCGCTCGTACAATAAACCTCCTTTATATCTCCAAGGCAACTTTAATCCAATTCCATTCGACCTGTGATTCTGCCCAGTTCGAAAAGTTAGAGCGCCATTTGAAAGATTAAAATTCCACTGCACCGAGGTGAAACATTCCCTCGGGCCACATAAAACAACTTAAATGCCAACGATGTAACGCTAATGTTGTGTTGTGTAGGAGGAGCACGAGGATATAAGCACTCCCTACAGTCACTACAAGTCCCTGAGCCCCAAGCAACGTACGGGGAAACTTTTGCGGAGACAGTTCAGCCTGGACAGGACGGAGGAGAGCATAAGGAGTGATGATCAAATCGTAAGTGATTAGTATAGTTTCGTAAGGGGGTGTTCATAAATTACGTGAGGTATTTTTGAAAATTTTTTGACCTACCCCACACATATTTGTCTCTACCCTCCTTCCTCTAATCTCTTTCAAAATTTATATTTTGGGTATAAGTGCGTTAAAAACACAATTTGCTTTATTATTTTTATTAAAACTAATAACGACTATAGTCTATAAAATGAATAACTTTGAATTTTGACCGTTATTTTTTAACAACATGGTAAATATAAAATCCATCTGTCAAAAAAGTTACTGATATTCTTTAAGTATTCTTTAAATTGAGTGCCTGAACGAATCAGATAGGTAACTCTTTTTTACTTTCGTGAAATAGAAAAGGAAAATAATAAAACAAGTGACAGTTCTTCCTCTTCTTAAAAAATCTACACGAAATGGCATAATTGACAAAAGTGAAATGTCATCAGCTTTTGACATTTCTAAATATCAGACCAGTGCTGTCTCTAATAGAACAGCCTCGGAGCGAGATTTATGACGTCACGCTAATTAGATACGGATTAATAAATATGTTGTAGAATACATGGAAAACATAATTATTCCTCGTATTTTTGGTTTGAATTTAAAAATGATATAGTTTACATGAAATATACATAATATACAGTTAATAAATATAATATATATACCTATTTATAGTAATAAATACTTTGGAAAATAAACTATGAACCATACAAATGCAGCAAATGTTTTACAATATACAAATAATGAATAGGTACATAAGATAATGGGTAAAATGTAAAATATATTTTAAATTTGGGGGTTTGAAAATCGATCTAATTTAACAAAAAACATTCAATATATACTAATAGTGGTGTATTATTATTTGCATTCACAAAATTTATATGTACATATATTTTGCAAGTATCAATGTTCGAAAAATTATATTTGCAAATAATACAATAGCATAGAAAAAAATGCGTCAGCGATGGCTATGAAATAAAGATCGCTGTCATTTTATAATGTAAAATTATTCTAAAATTTTTGATCTTCTTGGGATTTAGGTTCGGAAAAAACGCTGATTAAGTTTTCATTTGGTTTTTCATTATTTTTTTGGTTTAAAAAAAAACGTTTTTTGGTTTAAAAATAACATTATAGCCTTTCACACAACCTTCATCAGTGTTGTGTCATATAAAAAAAATAGTGTCGATATAATCCAAAAAATTGCATATAAAATATTCACACCACACACCACATAATGTTTACTACAATTAATAAACTAATATACACTTATCAAAAGATGACCACATATTTTTTAAAATTATTATTCTTAACACTAAAACTATCTACATTGACTATGGAGTACGATTTTAGCCATAGTCAAATATAAGGAATAATTATGATAGCGTGACGTCATAAATCTCGCTCCGAGGCTGTTCTATTAGAGACGGCATTGCGTCAGTATGGCCGCAAGTTGCTAACCTAATAAAATTAACACTAGAAAAGCCCGCGGGAACTGTCAAATTCAAAGTTATTCGTTTCACAGACTATATACAGGATGATTCAGATCCATAGAACTTTAAACGTTTATGGAGAACCGGTGATAGGATTTTTTGAAAATTTGGATTTTTGTCATCTGTCTAAATTATTTTCAACATTACAGTGTTGCCGCTTCATATTAGAAGTGGTAGCATCTTTGTTATTTTAAATGGAACACACGGTATATTATTATATTATTTGAAACAACTTCCAAAATTTTTCTGCTATACTAACCTATGACCTATACCTATCTCTAATAGTTTTTGAGATAAAAATTAAAACGTATAAAATTGACAAAAACTTGATCTTGAATTGTTAAATCATAAAGTCGGCATATTGAAAGCTAAAATTTGATTTATAGGTTAAAGAAAGATGACATATTCGATCTGTCTAAATCAGAGGTCTAAATCAACTGATTGGACATCAAACAGGGAGGTCCATAGACTTAAAATAAAATATTTTATTTTATTATAATTTTATTTTAAGTCTATGGGGAGGTCAGAAAAAATAATTATTTCCGATTGTTATTAAATCGTTCAAATTATTGTTATTTTAAATTCAAGCCTATGCACTTTATTTAAAAAATCTAAACTTAAAAAAAATAAAATTATTTTTCAACGATATATCATGTTCCTATACCTAAACCTTCTGGTTTCTTGAGTAAAGCCATTTAAAAGATAGTAGATAAATCTATTTTAGTTATTTCAATTAAAGAAAATCGTTACCATGACAAATATTCAAACTTTATAAGTTTTAATTAGAGTTTACGAGAGTTACGTGCTAAATTTCTAAAATTATCATGGTAACGAAATTCTTGAAATGAAATTATAATAATAGAATTATTAATTTTTTAATATCCACTTAAGAAACCGGAAGGTTTAGGTATAGAAACATGATATTTTGTTGGAAAGCAATTTTATTTGGGTTTCGATTTTTTAAATAATATGCATATGCTTGAATTTAAAATAATTATAATTTGAACGATTTTATAAAAATCGGAAATAAATAATATTTTTGCCTTCCCTGTGTGTATATTACACAATGGGTTTATTTAAATATAAAGAATATATATCGACTTTCGGGGTTAACTTATAACCCAAATTTCCACTTAAAAATGTTTAATTCATGATTTTACAATGCTTATTCACCATCAATATTTTTGTCAATGTTACACATATTTTATTTTTTATCTGAAAAACTATTAGAGATAGGTATAGGTTAGTATAATAGAAAAATTATTAGATATAAAAGTATTTTCCAAAAATGTATAGATGGAGCAGGTGCCTTTATGTAAAAATCCAAATTTTCAAAAAAATTCTATCGCCGGTTTTCCATAACATCTAGAATGTAGAATGTAGAATGAGTAAGAGGGGGGGTTAATCACTGCGACTTTAAATTCGTCATCATCATGCCCCTGTTGTAGAGGGGATAGGGTATTTCCCATCATCCTCTGACAACAGTTCTTCCTCCGAGGGTACACACCCTTCCACGGTTAGAGTTTGGTCCTCCGTGCCGCTCTTCATACCCTTGAGGTGGAGGCTGGAGGATCTGTCTCCATTTTTTCCACCTCTTTAACTTGGTCTCTTCTTAGACCTGATACCGGTGTTGTCCCGTATCTATAATAGAGGATATGTCTCTCTTTCTCTATTGCCTCCTTGGATTTGAGGTCAATTCCTATTGTAAGGACCTGACCATGTAATGACCTCCTCCCTCGAGTTGATGACTCGCCAACTCGATGTCCTTACATTAAAGTTCTGACCTTGGTTAAGGCTCAACAGGTAGGTGGTGTCTTTCCCCTTGCTCCTCGGCAGATAGACCGTTATGGCCGCCCCTTTAGAGATGTTTTCTTCCTTCACTGCAACCAGTTCTGGCCCTTGCCAATTTTTAAGCTTAGGTGCGATTTCCACCAACCAATTCGCCGATTCTTGAGATACACATTCTATGAAGATCATGCCCACCAGAAAGTGTATCCCCGCAAAACGCAGCTGACCCACTCCATAACGTCTAACGCGTCATCACCGTGAATCATCCTATATAGTATTTGATCAATACTAAATAACTTTATATCAATTCATGGATTTTAATACACAGAAGAATTGTGTTATATTTCAAAATATTGTTACGGATTCCGTGGGTCCACCATTTAAACTCACGATAAAATACTTAACGAATTTGTTTGTCTCACTCTGTACACACAACTTATACTATTTACAACACAATTTATGCAACTACTATTACTCTAACGGTATTTCACTATTTAAAGCGCGGTATATTCAAACTTCAAACTTCAGACTGTCCAACTGTCGTAAGCGCTCCTTTTATATAGCTGTGGCTTTGAATAAGAAGACTAAGGAAGGAGCATATCAAAAATCTTAGGTACACCGCGATGAGCCTCAAATATGGCCGACTTAAATTCCGGTTTATCAGTGTCGTTCTAATTTTATTTAAAAAATGTAAAACTATGATGTAGGGTAGACGTGGGGTAGACTCAATAATTTGTTGTTTTATTTTACGTTGTGAATAAATGTTGGTAGTTATTAAAATTGTTATAAAAATATATAATTCTAATAAAAATAGATAAGTTATAATAAGTATTTATTAACACAAACATCCGATACGCTACTGAAGCAGGTAAGTCAAATTAACGTATCTAAATTCTTTGACATCTAATCTTTGACAAGTAATAAATAAAAGCTAAAATGCAAGAAAAATGTATAATTTAGTTAATTTAAGTGAATTTCATAAATGATCGGTTTACTACACGTATGTATATTATATAGTCACTTACTAGCGAAAAGTTGTTCCATTATTTCACTCAATTTTTGCCGAGATCTACCGCACGCTACACAACCAACTATTTTAGAGTCTTTTTCGATAAATCGCGATAGTGTCACTGTTGATTTAAGTTCTGCCACAATTTCCATCTAGATTTACTACCTTTATACAACTATCAGTAGTAGAATAAATAATAAATAACATAAAATAAGCTCCGTAAAGACTGACAAATCCACAAAATTTCAAATCAAATTCAAATGTGTCAAATGAATCGTCAAACAGAACTGTCAAGGATCCCCACCCTAGAGAGCTTTTATGGTGGCTTTTCCGCCCACCATGCATGAATACATGGATAGCATTATGCTCCTTCCTTAGTCTTCTTATTCAAAGAGCTGTGGTGAGTGTTTCGCGAACAATCCAAAATTATCGGGACGGGTCCGCCATCTACTAGTACATTCTATTGTCTGCTTCGCTTACTTGTCGACTTGATTAAGAGATGGCGCTACAACAAAAAAATGTCTTCAGATTTCTTGACACATTGCGGTTTTAGTTGCTCGCTTCTCCGACAGATGGCGCCACATACACCTTGACAATATTATTTAGTCTAGAAACATGTTTTACTTTAAATTAATCTGATTTTCTCACATTTTTACACGATTTTTTGCCCCAAAAAAATTACGTGATATTTGCCAAAACTGCCTCTCTCTCCT